GGCCCTGCTCCCTCTCTCTCTGGCAGAGAAGGGCCAGGAGGATGTGCCTGTGAGTCACCTGTCCTGCGGCCTGCTGAGCAGCACACCAGCTGCTTTCCTCCCCTGGGCCCGGCACAGGGGGCTCACAAGCAGGAACGGGAGACGCTTGTCCACCAAGAGGGTGGTGTGGGGACACCTGCAATGCCACCACCTCGCCCCAACCCTGCCAGCACGCCAACACCATGAACATAACGTTCATAAACATTGGTTTATGAAAGGGGTGTCTGCAGAAGGCAGATTAGATTTCCTGTAGGTTGCCATGGGTTTACATGCCACACTCCCCACGCCCCTGACCCCGTTAATTCATAAAAAGGCAAAATGGACTCCAGAACACCCCTCCTGGCACATCTGTTACGGGAAGGGGCTCTGTCCAGACTCCCACTGGGCCGCGCAGCACCAGCTTGCACTGCGGGTGAAGGCAGGGGAAGTGAAACCAGCATGCACCACCATGCCAGAGCCTTTCCACAGGGTGCCTTGGGGATTTTCAGCTTCTCTCCCCGCTCCCTGGCTCTTTATTATCACTTTTCTCTGATGCCAGCTCCCCTCTGCCTCCCAGCGTCTGCTCAAAGCATAAGGGGCTGCCTTACCCCAGGGGAGCAGCCGGGCTGGAGCATTCTGGACCCCCCTCGCTGCGACTCGGCGCAAGGCCCCAGCAGCTGCCGAGGGATGCTTCACCGCAAACCCTATGGCACATGGTGGAGAAAGCTGTGGCAACTCACATCCCCTTCCCTGGGGTCAGAATTGTAAACCAAATTCAGGCACTTTATTGACAAACCAAGCAAGCCTCAGCAAAAACAAGCATCAGTGATTCTTGCAGAAGCAACTGCAAGTAATAAAGGGCGGGCAAGGACAAGAGAGGATGCAGCCCATGCTGCAGAGGTCACCCATGGACTTTCCTGGACTAGGAGGGCACAAGAGCAAGTGGAGGTTAACACGCTCAACGCACGAGGGCAGCAGCACCGGGAGGCGAGCTTGCTGCCCCAGGCAAGCACCCAGCACTAAACAGTCAACACAAATATCACTGCAACGTAGCCCTTGCACCCAAAATACACAGACAGAGCAGAGTAGATCTGCTCGCCTCTCACTTACCCCTGGAGCTGTGCTGGAGATGGGAAAGCAGACTCACGTGCAGGCAGCGGTGGAGGATTTTGTGGAGATACATCTTCAGTTTCTTTCCTATGTAAGAGGGAAGGTTGGTGCAAGCATCTTAAATTGTGCGCATTTCTCCCCTTCTAGAAACTCTTCGTTGTCCAGGCAGCAAAATGGGATTGAGTATTTTTATTATGGCAACAACCTATACCCTCTGAATCTCAGTGCTTTTTTAGCCAAGCAAGGATCCTACTGGCCAGCTGCCCAGTATGCATCAAAACATGAAACAACCTTCTCACATATAAAATAAAAACATGCAAAAATGTCACTTGTAGCTCTAAAAGGTCCTGGTCACAGGTCAGATTGCTGAAGCAGAATCTGTTCAACTTCTTACATTGTTTCTCACATCCTTCTTCCCTGACTTTTATTTTATTTTATGTAGTTCCTGAACTTGGCACACAAAACCAAACTGGCTCATTTTCTCTTTTCAGGCATATATCAAAGGCCCTGGAAGATGCGGTTGTTTGTTTGAAAAGAGCTATGCCATAGGACTGTTTGTCCAAGCCAGACCTCAATGCTTTTAACTTTTGAGATAAAGCAGCATGTTTGGACTACTGTAAGCACTGGAGAGTCTGTCAGTAATTAATTAATTCTCATTTCCTGGACAAGGGGAAAAAAAAAAAGAAAAAAAAGCCTGCAGGACTCCCTAGGATTAAATTGACAAGACCACTTTCTGGGAGCCAGTCTCTTTTCCATGCTTCAGTTTTGCTATTTTTGCTAATGAGGAGAATTACTAGTGAGGGGAAAGGCTGTTCACCGGCGGTTTTTTATAGCACTGTGTTTTCTCCTCCCTTCTGTTAGTTCATGTTTCTTGTCCTCAGTTCTGCCTGAGACCAAGGGGGACCCTGCTTGTGGTCACAGCCTGCAGACGAAAGGATGAGGAGGAAAGGAAGTGTTGGCTCACTCCGGGCTGCAAGCCCAGACGTAGAGCTGCTGAGCCGAGCGAGGCAGACATCTGCCTGGGAAACACCGTGCTGACACTCTGAGAGCAGGTTATCATCAAACGGGTTCACCCCCTCATTTCCTGTTGATAGCATGTTCACTTCAGTTAGAAAGTTATGGGGATTTTATATTATTGATCAGAAACTGACAGGGGAACGTGGAGTGCAATATCCAGTGCCACTTCCCTCCCTCCCACAGCAGCAGCTCCCAGCTGTGCCCAGACCTCTCCTTCTCTGGCTGCGTTATCCATAGCCAGACTCATGTCATACACCAGCCAGCACCAACCGAGGGGCAAAAAGAGACCTTCCATCGCTAATTAACAACGCAAGCTTTGCAAAACAGGACACTTGCTCGTGCTCTGAAGTGGTACGCTTTCTCAGCACTTCTCAAATTCCTTTTCCCAAACCCTTGGCACATCTTCTCTCTGGTTCTCAAACTGGCCAAACTTCTCAAGCCAATTAGCCCACTAATGCCCTGCAGAAGTGAGAGGCCACAGAGCGGTATAGATCCCAGCTAACTCTCTCATTGCAAAGCTGATCTTGTGAGAATTGTTTCTCCTGGAAGCAGCCAAGTCCTAAGGCCTTGTTTTCTAACAAATTACCAACCTGAAAGATTTCCTGGGTAAATCATTCACCCATTTGGCTCCACTTGGAGCCCCTTCCCCTGCCCTCAGGCTCTCCGAGTGCCCTTTTGTCCTGGTCTCCCATCCTTCCCTCCTTCCTCTGTAACTCCTCCTTCCCAGCTCAGCCCTGTGACAGCCCTGGGATGGAGAAGGGCAAGGGGTGCCTGGCAGGTGATGGGTGATCCAGGCATCTTCAAAGGTGTGATAAGCTGGAATAACATCAGGGAGAGGAAACAACCTTGAACAGACCAGGAGAGGCAAACTACATGTCTGGGTCAAGTAATAGCAAAGCAAGGGACAAACTTTCTGTTGGTTGTGGTAGAGCTATTGCACTGGTTCATAGTACAACATCAGGTCGGAGTCCCACAGACCAGATAAAGAGCAAAGGAAGAAGAAATGTGCTAGGGAACGAAGAAAGCTGTAAAGCATCAAGCAGAGGGTCCCCAGACCTTCTCACTTACCTTTCAGGAGAAACATTTGACCCACTAGTGATGACTGATGCTGTTTCCTGGTGGCTTCTGGCTTCAGTTTTTCCAAGTTGGCCTCCAAATCAATGCCTGCCAGTTCCACAGCAGAACGATACAGAGCCACAAACTGGAGACTAGAGGAGTTAGGGAGGAGTTAAAACGGCACAATGATCTCCAGAGCCCACTGGAGAACCTGGTGCATCACCACCTTCGGGCTGGGATGTTATTACCCGTGAGTCAGGATTCAGACCCTCTCCTTTCAAATCCTAGTCAGAAGGTTTCCACCCCAGCTGAGCCTGCAGGGAGCCCAACACTTACTGTTCATGATGCAGCAAGGTCTTGGTTTCCCCGTGCAGCCTAAGCTAAGCTTGGAGGAATGCTTTCTGATTTTCTTAATGTGGTCACAAAACCTTGCAACAAAGATTTGCAGAAAGAAATGTTAAAGATCTATACATAGATAAATACTGAAGCATTGAGTAGAGAACTAATATCTTGCTTCTATTAATAAATCCCGTCTAGAAAGGAGACAGCCTAAATTTAACACCCCTAAAATAGAATTGTTCTGAAGTAGATATGCAAAGATCTTCCGAAAAAGTATACTAGGACATTCCCCCTTTTTTCCTCTTTGTGTATAGTTTCTGGTATTTAGAGAAAAACCTGTAGCAAACCAAGATATTTTTAGTCAACTGATGGGTAGCTAAAAACACACCACAATCTCACTTATAAAAATACATTCTTATCAACAGGGAAGGTTCAAGGCCTCTGAGGCAAATTGGTTTATTTAAGCCTAAAATGTAACCCTGGGTTTTTATGATGAAATGCTGGATATTCTGTTATTTATTTGAAGGATAATATAAAATATAATATTCTGATAAAAAAAAACAAACCCACTAATTTTTAGTCTAAAAGTGTAGGGTTTTTTCTTCAAGCTTTTAATTGCATCTTGGTCTTTCCCATACAATTTCAAGTGCTCTTTTACTGGATAAACTGCCTTTTCTTCCCTTTCCCTTAGGGTGATTAAGGACTGCAGCTTCTGGCAGGTTAGGGAAGTCAAAACTCTTTTTGTATTGTGTATGGGTCTTGGACTGAGGATTTCCTCAAGCTTCCCAGAAATTTCAGGTGTTTTTTTGCAAAGCTGAACAGACCACAACAGAATCCATCTGCAAACAGGTTGGACAAGACTTCAGTGCTCCGTTTCATACACAGCTTTATGTGAGCAAAGATGAAAGCAGCGGGGATATGAGAAGGCCCTTTGTATGACTTCCAAAAGATGAGTAATTTCTGGTCTAGTAAGAGTGAAAACAAAAATATCCTTGATTTTAATCTTCCTGGTTTGAAAGTCTCATTTATGAAAGAGAAAAATCTACTCAATTAGGTGCAATTCTCTTATTTCAGATGATTTGCAGGGGCTCAGTGCTGAAAACTGAAATGAAAAATGTTTTTTGAATGAAAAACAATAGGTTGTATTTTCTTCCATGTCTGAGTTTATAAGGAAGTTTACTGGTGTGGTATTTAGTAGATGAATCATTCCCCCAGGGCCATGCAACAGAGAAATAATGAATGATGCTTTCAATCTTCTATCACCAAAACAAAGTTACTTTTCACTGTGTGGATTCAGTTCCATGCCTCTGCCAGCAGTGGTTGCAGAAAAAGAATATTCTTCCTCTTTCAGCCAGTGACTTTTAAAACATCTAAGGGCAGCGCTGCACTTCAAACTCACATCATCAGATGCTGCTGGGGTGATTCCTGTATACCTTACTGCTCTCTTGGAACCGGGAACCTGGTACCCTGGCAGAGAAAAATACCAACATGTTGCATCTCTGAAGCAGCCTGGCATGCCAAAACAGGAACCTGGACATCTTATATAGCCTGAGGACCCTTTATTATATATCAATATATATATAAATATACAATACAAAGTTTAAAAGGATGCTGCCTTAAGGTCCTATGTGAGTTAAAATCCTTAACCCCAGCTGGCTAATGTCAAAATCAAAGAATCCCAGAGCTGAGAGGTACAGGCTAAATAATCCCACTTGCTTTGCAGAGAGAGACACATTACCCAGAGCCAATTTTACCCAAGTCAGAAGCAATCCGGAGGGTGGTATTCCAGCTTTCCCTCTTTCAATCTGTTAGGAAAAGTGATGCCCTGTATCAACACCACTGTTGCCCTGGGCTGGACAAGTTGCAGTGACAGGAGAGGGTCGAAGGCAGGGTTGGGCCACACCAGCAACTACCCAGCCACGTGACAGGCAAAAACACAGGCTTTTTGCAGGTGGGTTTTCTGTTTACTTCTTTTTGATGGGGGCAACAGTAGCTCGGAACTTTCCTGTAGAGTAAATTTTCTAAATACACTCTGCTTTGTTTTACTTATGAAGTTAATCTGCTTCGTATCACCTGGAACAGCAAAATAGAGCAGTCCACGCCACTTTAATTTCTTACCAGTTTCATTTCCATTTCTCAAGACCTATTCAAAATATGCAACATTTCATAGCCTAGACACTATTTATTAAAATAAGTACTAAGTAGCTATATAAACCCATCTGAAATATAACCTCCAAAGAATTACTACCGAATCATTAACAGCGATAACTGGGCAGACAAACACAAGATACACACAAAGAAACCTCAGAACAGCAGTTAGGATGTTATTCACTCACAGTCAAAACTTCTGATCCCCTCAGTCACGTGCTTGTTTGTTCCCTGAAAGGTGGTTTTGTATCTATTTCCTACTCTTTTTTTTCCAGCTAACAGCCGGTTACTTATACGCCGTCTGTACGCTTACAATTCATTCCATTGCCACAAGAAGCCAAACTCCACAGCACTACCATGTAGCATTTGAGTAGCTGGCTTTGTACAGCATGAAGGCAAATACATGTATTGGTTTTAGGTGTTCTGCCTTTGGATGTCATTTGCTGTTCTCACGCTGATATTGTGAAAGACAAACAGATTGATAACGTCTTCCTTTTACTGTACAGCATTTTGCTTGTAAGGTACCACATCTTCCTCTTTCGTTCAGCCTCTAATCCTACCGTGTTTGTAAGCAGAAACCTACAAAAGTTACTCACAATCCAACATTCAGCTAAATAGCAAAAGAAATTACAATCCCACAGGTAACAGATACTTTCATGACTCCAAATCCTGCTTTCCCCCACTCCAGGTGATCAGCTTGTAGAAAATAATCATAGGTAATCTCTGCAATCTTCCTGAGTTTATAAAGGTTTCTTGCCAGCTTTGTGCCTTTCTCTCTTCCCCCAGAAAAACCTTTATATTACCCATGTCCAGACTCCCTGCTTCTGCGAGAAACTCACTTCTGTTTTTTAAAAAAGGACACATAAGTTTAAACGTTAGCAGAAACCTTCTTTTCAAACTAAAAAAAAAAAAAGGCCCATCTCCAAAATCCCCCTGAAGGGCCAGCGTGAATCCTACTGAGCAGCAAGGGCTGATGCCACACAGCCTGCTCAGGAGGAGTACCAGGGGCTGAGCTCTGCCCCTCCTGCCCCACCATGAACCACTGACCCAGGGGGAAAACCTGCTTCTCCAACCGCCCCTTCCCCTCACACAGGAGGAGGAAATTAAGCTGCAATGGTGGAAAAGCTTGGATGAAATGCAGCTTCCTCCTTTGACAGTTATGAGGTTCAGAAGAAAAATTCCTAATTGTGATGGTTGCAGCCAGTTCCCCTTTCCCCGCACTCACCAGATGCTCTATTACTAACTGCTGGGGAAGCCTAAAAAAGTATTTTAAGAGAAGGACTGGGTTTATTCATTCTCAACTCACCCACTTGCTTTCATTTTAGGTTACTTGGCTTTTTGACTACAACTCAGCCTGATTCATCTGGGATGCACGTTTTAAATAGATGAGTGAGGAAAAGCCATATGACATGCACTTGCTCTGGGAAGCCGGGAGGAGAGGAGACAGCCTGCACTGGCCATCTTCATGCTGCCCACAAGACTGCAATGGCTGGGGTGGGGTGGGGCTTACTTCTGCTTCCCCAGGTCTGCAGGGCAAGATTTCATGAGCATAGGGTGGGATTCAGGGCATTATGGGAGAGCTGCTGAGATCTGACCTGCAGGTTAGAAGCACTGAATTTTAGCAATAGGTGGGACACATCACTCTGTGCTGGTGCACATCTGCCCACGTGCAGCACCCACCCCCTCGCTCCAGCCAGCCTCCTGCTTCCCTCTGTGCTCACCCGCCACAACAGCATGGCATGCACAAACCCCGCTCCGCAGCCTACTGCCCCTCCACTTGCTCCCGTCTTTCCCTGCTTCCTCCTGCCCCTCCAGCTGCCCCCATCCTCCCCTGCTTCCTCCTGCAGGCAGGTGGGGTGGCTGGAAACACGAGGCAGCTGTGATAGATTCAGGCAATTAAGAAGGTGGCTGTGGAAACCCCAGAAGAGGGGAGAAGGAAACATCTGTGTACCCTTTGCTTTTGCATTACTTTCTAGGAAAAGCTGGTGGAAGTCAGTGTTGGCAACTTTCTCACATCTCCTGGCTTGAAGCCTGTTGTTCCTGGCGCCTGGGTTGCAAGTTCAGGCCAGCTGCACTCTTGGCCTCATCCCTCGTGCCCCTTGGGGAACAGGTTCCAAACCCTGAAGCTCACAGCAGCGCACAAGGCCCCTCCATGGGTGTTCTGCACCCCAGCTCCTGGCCGGGGTCTCCTTTGGCCCACCAGCAACACCTCCCAGGCCAGCACCCCTACAAAATGCTGCCCTGTTTCAGACAGTCCCCAGTTTTGAGCTTGCAATGTTAAAATATCAGAAAGGAATTAATATAACTTCCAAAACCCCAGAAAATACAAAACATGAGTTTCATTATGCAGATCCCCACAGGCTCTGAGTCTCAAATAAATACTTTACAGCTTTTTTCTACAAAATGGAATATTACAGTAGAACAAAATAAATAGCTATTAGAAATTGTCCTTTTTTATACATCCTTTGGAGTGAAGTCACAGCAGGTTTGCTCAGAAGCCCGAGGTGCCACCGTAAGACATTTCTCTCTTGCAGACATAGGGCGGGCAGCTGCTCAGGTGTTCAGCGACATGCCGGGGCTGGGGGGGCACTGCGGGACCCACCCGCCCGTAGCTCCGTACTGCCCGCACTTCTTGGCCTGGGTACAGGCAGGAAGGACCTAACAGAAGAGAGGTGGTTGGGCTTTTCTCCTTCTTCAAAATATATGGATATTTTAAGCTCAGGGGTAAAGATCCGGGCTGTGAGCGTTACCAAATGGGTCCTTGCATCTCTCTGTGAGGGGAGACAAAAGTTATCCCCTTGCAACTCCCCCAAGCAGGCTCCAGCTTGGATCTAGAAGCACGGCACCCATGGAAGAAGATACATATTGCATTTCCTCCCACTGCTTTTTTTCACCAAAACACCCATTAAAAGTAAGGGTGCATGCTCTGGGCATATCCCGCGAGGAGGCTGAGGTGCCTTCAGCACAAAACTGGGCTGTCATTTTCTGAAACGATGCCTCCTCACCCAGTTTACCCCCACCTCGCACTCGCCTCCTTCACCCCCTGTGCCAGGATGGCCTCGGCGGGCAATCAGCAGCGCCTCGGCCCCTGCCTCGACGCGGGTCCCCAGGCTTTCCACGCAGAGGCATGCTCTTCCTCCAAAGACCCCGCTGGGTTTGAGACGCATCCTTGAAGCTGCTTCCTCCACATGCTGCACTGGCTGTGCCGGAGGGAGGTTACTCCAGGAGATGCTGAAGAACAATGCAAGGGTACGGCCACCACTTGCACAATTATTTTGTGCACGAATGCAGTAGCAGAGCGATGCTTTCCCCCTCAGTGTATCTTGCCACTGACAAAGTGAATGGTTTCTAGCTGTTGTCACTGTTGGGAACCCACTGGCCTGGCTAAGCCCTTTCAGGTGTCCCCTACTGAGCTGTCTAGCGGGGGGCTGAGCCCTTTGTCTCTCCCTGCCCCGGGTGCAGCCTGGGCTGGGCAGCACGCAGCCAGCTCCGGGGTGGCCGGGCAGAGCTGGGTCCCAGTGGCAAGCCCTGAAACCGGCGTGGGTGAGCCCTGCAGCAGCCTGGGGAAAGGCAGACCTACCCAGCACGGCTGGGCTGTGTTTCTCTCTGGGTCACGTAGGTGCCTGAGGTAGCGGTGGCGGAGGCAGGCGAGGAGGAGGAGGGAAGTCAGGGACACCAGCACCCCCACTGCTATAGCAACGGCTGGTGCCACGCTGCTGTCCAGACCTGTGGGGAAAGCAGTGGGTACTCAGTTTGTGCATGAAGAAAATAAACCATCCCAAACCCATTCCAGACATCTGTTGGCCAGTCCCTGAGATGAGATGGGGCAGGAAGGGACGCTGGGAGCACGTGCCAGCGCACACACTAGCAGCATTGCCAGAAGACCTGTGTTTGCGGTCTGATGCCATGGTTGGGCATTTGGTTCCCAGCCCCGCCCAGCTATCCAAAGCCCCTTCGGCACTTCAGGCTGCATGGCAGGGAAACCCTGCAAGCCCTCAGCAGAGGCAGGAAGGCTGGGGCGCATCACGGTATGCAAGGCACCCGACACATGGTGAGCCATCACCAAAGTGTTCGGATGCTCCTTGGCACCTCCTCCATCCATCCCCAGCCCAGCCTTGGCTGCTTTTCCAAGTGCCTTCCCCACCTGCACCCCGACCCTCTGAGGAGTTTCCTGATCTATCCCAGGAGGTGTTTTGCAGTTTCCTTCCTGCTCCAGGACAAAAGCAGTACTAGATACTGACCCTGCACCACGGTGTCCATGGGCAGAACCAGGGTGACATTTAGAGAGGGGTGTTGGATCACGCAGGCGATGGGATACTGATGGAGGATTTTGGAGTGGGCATGGGTGAAGTTGCTGATGACAGTCACAGTCTGGTTGCCGAGCCTGACGTGGTACTCCCTTGGTTTCTGCTGCAGGATGCTGGGAAGATGCCAGGTGATTTTTGGAGCTGGTTTCCCTGTTGCTGAGCAGCTCACCCCCACCACTTTCTCAGTGTCCTTGGCTTTGTCTGGACTGGATATAAGCTTAGCCTCCACTTTGGGGTCAGAGATGGCTGTAAAACACAAAGTGACAAAATCCATCACTTTCTGCTCACGTTTGAGCAAAGAGCATCTGTCTTTACCATTACATGGGAGGACAACCTTCATATCTAATCTCATTGCCTCCCCCTCCCCAAAGCCCCAGCAGTGACAAATAAACATAAAAGTAGTCAGGCAGCAGTCCAGAAATTAAGAATCTGGCAAAAACAAAGCACAAGAGGGTAGAAACATCTGTGTTTCAATTCTGTTATTAATGGCAGCACTGCAGCATTCCAACTGAGAAGCGGTGATATGGACAAGTAAAGAGCAACAGGTTGTGAAACTATGAAACCACGAAACCACATGCCCTCCCTCTCTTCAGAAGAGCTGAAGAACAACATTCTTGTTCTTTTCCCTTAAATGTATCTGCAGGATTAGCTTTATTGCTGTTTGAGATGTGCAGGCTTGTGGACCAAAGGACTAAATCCGTCTATTTGTGCAAGACAGTAATAGTGAATTTGGATGTGGTTACACCACAGGATTTCACCTGTGAAGGCTTTGTGCTTGTACAACCTTCTTGCCTCTAGTGCCAGGTTTTGGGGGCATCATGGTATCCCTCAAAACCTTCATTAAAGGTCATTCCTTCTGAACAACTCCTCACCCTAGAAGATTTGAGGATGCTGTCACTTTTAGTCTTAGTCAGCAAAAAAGATGAACTGCAGGCACCATCCATGCTTATCCACTCGCATGAAGCCTGCTTATTCATTCCTATTTATACAAACTACATTTGCAAGAAATAAAGAAAGGGGAATAGTGCAGGAAGCTCTTTCCAGCCTGGGAAGAACTTCAGGGGAGATCTGAACATGTAAGGACGCGTATATCCCCTGTGGAAAATCACCTATTCATTCCTCGTCCATAAAATCATACCATAATTTAGGTCAGAAGGGATCTCAGGAGGTCATCTAGTCCCAGCCTCTGCCCAAAGCCAGTCTAATTATCAGTTTCCTCAGGCCAAGATCTATAAAGGCACGTAGCTCCGTTTGGGAGTGCAATCCACAGGTTTCCATATGGCAGGTCACCAGTCTGCCTTCTACTTCAGTGCATGTGCTGTTGGCATAGGGGTTCAAACCACGCTCTACTTATAGCTGCCTGTTTCTGACAATATTACTTTTTTAAATCATTGAAGTGCAGTTCCAGTTTAATTCAAGTCTGAGTTAACATAAACACTCTCTGATTAAAAAAGTGGCTATTACTGTATTTGGTAGTACTCCATGTGTATATTACCATTTACATAGCAAAATAACAATGGCCAGCACAATATTTATGCTGAAATTAATTCTTGTACCAACACTAGCAAACATATCACTATCATTTAGCAATCCTACTTCTAAACAAAAACAATCTCTTTATTCCTCTTCGGAAAAATGATTCTTTTTCCTTTTGAGAGCTACTAGAAGATTTGCATATAAACGAGGTGTTGAAGACAACGAAGGATCCTGTTAAGGGGGAAAAAGGCTTGTGCCAGGTGGACAGTGGTGCTTATAACTTCCTGGTACAACTGCAGATGCATCTCATGAGGTTGCCTGGATCCTCCAAGCCCTAACTGCCAGAGGATGAAAGCAATACACTGATTATCATCTATCATCCGTTTTGCCTTTTTTTTACTTTTTTTTTTTTTTTTGTTCTTCAACAGAATCATGTTGCAATCAGGTTGTGCCTGCTTAGGAAAAAAAACCAAAACCAAAACCCAGAAAAACGGGTATTTCTCTTTTTTTTGCATCACCCATAGACAGAAACTCAAATGCCACAAGAAACAGGATTGATGAAACACACTAGTGCTGCTCTGAGAGCAACAAGAAAAGTGTGTAGGGGGATTTCAGCTGGAACTTCTCAAAATCTCCCATGTATGAAAAGACGAGTGTCACAAACAGTTTATGTTTTGATTAATAAATGATCTCTGAACTTCTTCTTTCACTCACGGGATGCATAAAAATAACATGTCCACCCACAGCATTAACTACAAATATTAGCTTGCAACATCCAAAATCAGTAAAGGAAAGCTGTCACAGGTGTTTCCAGAAGGGATGAGAAAAATTTCTTAGTGTCTTGATAGGAACACATGCACTCCACATCTGCTCTTCTTCTGACTAAGCAGTCCTCTCTCTTCTCATATTGGACCCTGAGGAATGATTATCGCGTGTAAAAAATCCTGTAGGGTTGCGCTTCCCCTCAGCAAGTGTCTGCAACAGATGGACAGTCAAAACCCAAAAGTGCTTGCTTTTGTGGAAGAGCCCCACTACACTGTCAGCCTTTGTGCCCAATGTTGATCTTTGGTGCATACACTTAAACGAACGGCTTCTTTTGCCTTTCATCACACTGTTGGTTTCCAGTGGAAAAGCCCTCCCAAGAGATGCTGTGTGCAAGTACCTAGTCATGACGTGCTCTTTATGTTTAACGTCTTGACAGTGATCTCGGAGAGAGTGATAAAAATCTTTAGGAATTACAATATGCCTCATGATGACAAAAAGCCTTTTCAACCGTGAGGGCATTCATCAGCAGCCCCATACCTCAGTTTCCCTGCCTAAGAATTGGTGATGGCATTTCTCTGCTGTGCTCAAGCCGTCCAGGCCAAAGATGCCATCTGCGTTGAAGGCAGGAGGTCCCAGCAAATGCCCAGGGAATTTTGTGACCCAGCAGGTCTTGGCCATTCTTGTGTGGCACATCCCCCTCTTTCCGTACCTGCTGACTGTGTCTCCTTCCCAGGTTTCATTCTCATCCTCTTTGGTGATGAAGGTTGGCAAAACGTTTCCGAGGCAGAACGAAGTGGGAAGGGGAGCAGGCCATTCAAAGGAGACCCGTCAAGCACATCTGAACCTATTCTGTTCTAAAAAGGTTTTTGCTACAGGGTAGGAAATTTCTACTTCTTCTTGAGGTTACTGTTTTCAGACAGGCAGGTCTGAGATTCCTCCAGTCATACCTGTTTCTTTTTTCACAGCATCCTATCCAGTTCATAGGCGGTTTCACTTCCCTTTGTCACGCAGCAATGGTACCCGGTAGGTCCTGGAACAGCCCCTCTTGCGAAGGCTGTTGTAATTGGGCAATTACCAGCTTGTAAACCCCCTGGCAGTCCCCTCCTGAGGGCAACAACATGGCAGCGTTTCATTTTCAGCTGGTGACTCCGTAAGCCAGCTTGCTCACCTTGCCCTCAATCCCTGAGCCTTGGGAGATTCCTGCCGGCTTCACGCTCCATCCCGGGGAGTACTCTGGGCTTGTTCAGACAAGTTGTCCCCATCATTTTGAGTTGAGGAAACAGGGAGTAAAACTATGGTTCTTAATCATCACATAAATCAGCTTCCATGAAATATGCCGTATGTCAACCAAAATCTTCTGTCACAGTACCGACCACTTGGTTTATTCATGATGATCCTCCAGGACTCGTGTGATAAAGCACATTCCAGGGGTGTCACCGGTACCCCCATGAGCCAGCCCCCGGCAGTGGCCCAGCAGGAGCAGTGGGCTTATGCTCGCTCGTGAGAGAAGCGAAACCCTTCTCAGTTGATAGGTTTTCATCCGAGGCGCAGGGAGAGATGCTCGCAGCAGTGTGCGTAGCAGCAGAAAATCTTTTTTTTAAGAAGTGCTCTGCTAAAGGGTGAATCATAGGCACAAGGCTGGTGGTTTTGGGAAATATTTCACCTTCCTGGGTTAAAAAAAACCCAAACAAACCATCAAAACATAACAAATCTAACTCTGTGTTTAGTGTTACATGATAATGAGAAAGGGATCCCTCTGCAAGGCACTTCCATATTTTCCTGTAAACCAGTGTTTACCCTCTCAGTGACTCAGGGGTGGGTGCCTTTAGGAACACCTTCCTCTTTGTATCTGAAATACTGAGAATTTTTCTCCTAATTTCTCTCTTCTGCTCTAGGAGCTTTCCCAAGTGTGAGGAAGAAGAACTTTTTTTCCAGAATTTATTTCCCCTTGCATTTCCCCCCAGCTCTGCCTTTCCCCTATTGCTTAAGTCATCTTTCCCCTGTAAGCCAGGAGCATCGTTTTTTCCACACAGAGGACTGCTGGGACATGGTTATGTGTGTGGGCATGTGTCTGTGTCAGTAGAAGGTATTGGGGACAAAAAAAAATGCTCTGCAAGGGTCATGACGCAATGGCAGGTCCCAGACACTGATGTTTTCCACATGGGACATGATCGGCCAATCTACCCACAGCAGAGTCGACGAGAATGTCAGGAGCTAACAGGGTGTTTATTGTCTCAGCTTTCCCACTCACAGAAAAACAAGACCCTCCCTCAAAAGATAAACAGCTTTTCACTCTTATTCCTTCTGAGTTCATCTATTTGTCTGTATTTTGGCTCACACTTGCTAGCTGATGACTTCACATGGAGGTGTTAAAAATTGCCACCTTGACTCACAATTTCTTTTCACTCTCTGCTTGTAGCTAACCGATGCTGACCTGCACAAGATATCCATGTGGCACAGCCCATGAGCTGCAACGTCTTTCAGCCTTCTTTTAATTTTTGCATCCCTTTCCTGAATCCAGCCTAACTACTGTCATTTTTACCATAGCTTCAAAATCAGCTTCCAGATACTCTGGTCACGCATATGCCACACTTCCTTTGAACACTTTCTTAAGACGGAAGGCAGAGTAAGAAGAAAATGCCTGGATTCCTGGGAGGCAGGAGCAGCAGTGAAAGGGAGGCAGAGGAGTGTCAGGCCAGCTGTCAGCACAGCACACAGTCACAGTAGCTTGGAGGAAGTCATGGGTTACACAGCAGCTTTTATATGTCACTGAAGTTGACTTAATGGGAAGGAAAATTAAAGAACTGTTGAACGCTGGTTTCCCATCAGAGAGAAAACCAGAGAGGGTGGGAGGGCCAGAGAGGAACGTGAGCCACCTTTCCTGCAGCAATTTAGCAATGACCAGGGGTCAGGGAAGGTTTTTCCCAGGGGAAATGACTTGGCTCTCAGATGACAGCCTGTACTCAATTACAATGCCTTACCGTAAACCTTGAGACACATCCTGCCGGTGACAGCCCCTGAGGGGAATGTGTTGAAGATGCACTTGTAGCATCCTTCATCTTGGAGGGTGACTCCACGAAAGGAGATGGCCGAGGCTTGTAAGTCGCTGTGGGAGAAGCTCACATGACCAGCGTAGTCCTTCGCTATCTTTTGGCCGTTCATTGTACTGTAGGTCGCTATGTTGTCTTCAGCGCCGTCTGTCTCCTTCTGCCAGGTCACCTGTAGCACATCTTCTTTTGTGACTGACTTGCATGAGAAGGTAACGTTTCCTCCTGCCTGGACTGACTGGACCTTTCTGTGCATCACCTGCACGGAGCCTGGAGGAGAAGTGGGTGATGCACTCAGCATTTTTCACCGCCTTTCTGTAACCCATCCCTAGCAGAGACCCCCAGACCCCACTCCTGGGCAGACCAGCTCATGGAGGGTCTCTTCGCCCCACCATCCGGGGAAAAAAATGAAAGCGCAGCTCAAAAGAATTGCCCTGGACCTGATGCCTCTCACACAAAGCATCTTGCCAGCCCGATACCTTCGCTGCAGACAACACCACTGAGAAAGGCAGCTCCAGTGTAAGGAGTGACTGATTTCTGTCTGCTAAGACTTTTATCCCACAGGCACCCATGGAGATGTTCCCTAAACCATGCTAATGCCCAAACGGCTGCCAGTGCATTACCGTTCTGAGTCCTCCTGCGGCGCAGTGAGAAGCAAATCGGTGGGGCTGCTGAAAATTCTTACGTATATCGCTGTACATTGTGCACCCACATTTGTCAGAGACTGACAAGAAAACAGAAAACCAGGAGGAAGAAGCACAGTAGGGAGGACCAGAGGCAAACAGCATCTGTCCTCCTCCCTCAGACATGAGGACATGCAGCTGGGAAGCAGCTGAGACCCTGCTGAAGGACTACAGACAGAAAACTTTTCTAGCGTAAATACCACGGTATTAAAGGTCTCCAAGGGGGAAAAAAAAGGCTGTCTGCAGTGCCCAGAGGTGCACTTGTCTGACCTGCCTGTCAGAGCTTGCTCAGGTCCTGCCCCCACCGTGGCAGTGGCCATGGCCAGGCAGATCTCTGCAGGAGAACAAGAAGCCAGCTGGGAAGCTGTGCCAGTCATTTTGCTTTTCAGACCTCAGCAGTGTCATAGGCAGAATACAACCATCGCCATGGAAGCTAGTCTGAAATACATTCAGGCTTCTCTACATGGTTTTTAATTAGAAAAAAAAATGTAACACACCCACACTTCTAGTGGCTTGAGCAGACATGCACAAGCACCACGTCCATCACTACAAATAACTCCGTCCTGACTAAAGCAAATCAGTGCCATGCTCTGACCCAAATCCGAGCCACCACAGGAGATGAAACCCACACTTCAGTCATACGGACCATTGGGAGTGTTTGGACATTTGCCTGGTTTATGACTTGCAAATTGCAATAAATTTGTGCACCTGTCTGCAGGTCACAAACACACTAGTGATAAAATAAAGAGAGGATGCTGTCAACGCAACCAGCAGCGACACATCTGAAGCCACGTGTGAGCGTTGCAGTCGCGTGCGGTGCCAGCGCTGTCACCGCTGGGCTCGCCCCGCGGGATGCAAGGGGGAGACTGCAGCAACCAGCAGCAGGCAAGCAGGGCCACCGAGGTCCCTAAATGCTGCTACGGCAACAATACAGACAGACAGACAGACAGAGGTTACCTGACTCAACGCTCCAGATGCTGGAGAGGAGCAGACAAGCGACCATCATCTTAGCTGTGCCCTCGGCGAGACGAGCGAGCAACTGATCCATGGAGCGCGGCTTCCTCTTTTTTATACACTTCGCTCTTACGGAGGGACATTCCCCCTCCGCGCATACGGTAAGAGGCATCTCGTCAAAACCTCCGGTCCTCAGCTGAATAACAAAAATTTTGGGGAACGTGGTAGCAAATGTCAGTGCCAGAAACCAAAGATTTCCCAGCTGGGCTGCTAGACAGATGGGGGTAACAGGGTTACAGGGCTGGGTTTTTTCACATGTGTGTAAGGTCAGGGTTTTGCCAGTGCCTGAGTGAGAGCCCAGATTTCTAAGCTGGCTGAGCACCCCATGCCTGTCAGCCTGTGAGGGGCAGGAGGAAAGGCCACCCTGGCCCTGAGCTGACCTCAGGTCAACAGTCATGCTGCAATGAGCACTACAAACGTCCCCAACACGTAATTCAGGGGACTCAGTTAGGGGTCTGCACCCCATGTGTAAATCAGTGGAGACCAAGGAGCTGCTGAGGCTGCTGTAATGCATCTCTTTTTCCAGGTCAGGAGACTGGAGCAAGCCAAGCGCCCAATCCAGGGCCTAGGTCATACATTGCCTCAGGGAAAAAACAGACCCTTGGGCTCCCCTTTCCTCCATTGAGGTTGCTCCCATCTCCGCAGGTCTGTGCTCCTTCTCCAGACCTGTCCCTCGGAAGGACAGGGCTGCCATCCCACAAGCACATCCATTCCTTCCCGCTCTCACCTGAGATGACATCAAAATAGCTCACACAGACGTTTTGAGTCATTGGTTTTGTGCCTTTTTGCTCTGTCATGTTTCTGCCCGTGTTTCTCCTTTTCTGCCCACTGTGATCACACCGCTGAAACCAAACAAACCCTCAGCCCACGGGTCGCTCACGCACTGCGTGCTGGGGAAACCAGCCCCCGGGACCTCATTTGCTAATCAAACCTGTACTGGTAAACTGCGCCTCAGGTTTCTGTTTTCTGATTAGGTGACTTACATTTTTGCAATTTTTTACTACTTCAGATGACTATGACTGCATTAAAAATGTTTTCTTTTAGTTGTATTCCTGCATGGATTAACCCTGAATCATGAAAATAGGCTGGGGGAAGCCAATGTCGCAAATCATAATGCGACAAAAAATATTCTCAGACTTGCTTACACATACACAGTTCCCTCTCTCCGCCCAAGGAGGTGATTAATTGTCTGAAAAAAGAACAGTTCAAGTACCAGTATTCCTCTAAAGAAACATTTTGGATGTGCATTTGGGTAGGTTCAATAATTCATTCCCGTCACAATGTAAATTGTGATTGCTTCATACTATTGCCTATTTGCTCTGAGGTATTGCATCCCACTTTCCTTTCCCTGAGTTATTTTCATACTTGCATTTTCCTGTCAGATTTCTGGAAGGACATGCTGCCATGAACAGAATGTGAAATCAATGAAAAATGGTTCCTGTGAGGTTTTCCAGACCTTTTACAGCTATTAAACAATTCAAATAGCTTCGACAGGGTCTGGACCAAGGCTCTGGACCAAGTCAGAGGGAAAACAGCCAGCCTTGAAGTGGAGATTCACAAGCAAACATTTCTTGTTGTCAGCCTCTCAGAACTTCTAAAAATGAAAAAACCAACATTGAAGATTTGCTGGCTCTATGTCCTTTTGCACCAAAGCCTCCTAGCAGGGTACACGTGACCTCTGCAAAGATTCACCCCAGGCTTTGCTGGTGTCCTCACCTTAGCTCTGCCACAAAACAAAGTATTAACAACAAACCTTTGCGTAAGCTTGCAGACGCCGTTGATGCAGCCCTCGTAGCTGAACGTCACCACTCAGTGATCACAGAAGGAACTACACTTGATTTAAAAAAAGAACTGCAAGCCCAGCTAGTCTATTTTTCTGCTCATAGGAAATGTTCTTGTCAGCTTTAAGCATTTTATTTTCTGCCAGAAACATTGTGATCTTCCAAAGGTCCTTCCAAACGACCCTGCAAACCTGTGTGCTGCTTCAGCAAACACCTTTCAATACAGAGCAAACCTTCAGCTTTAGCAACATGCAAGCAAAGGCCAGAGATCACTGTTGCGGTTGGAAAAACATGTGGACTTGGAATGGTTTACAGCATCCCCTGCCTGGTGAGAAAGAGCCATGTACTCCAGCTGCACCTTCCAGGCTTGGCCTCTCCCCTGGCAGCTCCTGATGCCACAGGGAACCCGGGCATGCAGGGACCTCCCTCCCAGCCCACAAGTGTGTGTATCTGCACATGCATCCAACTGATGCAGCATCTCTTTCTCACCTCCCTTCGTCCAGGAACCAGCCAATGTCAGCGTTGATTCATTACTTTAAACACAAGGCAGGCAAGAATGTGAGGTCTGCTCATTAACCCCGCTACTTATTTCGGTTTTGTGAGTGTATCTTTAAGGGATAGTCCCTGACCTGCTTGTCTTTTTGCATAGACTTGTGGGAGATTGCAGACCTCTTCCTTGCTTGTCAGTGAGTTCCCTTGATCTCCTGCTTCAATTGCACAGCAGCTTCATTTTGAAAGCTGCATAGTCATGCCTGAGCTTCAGGCACTTCCCAAAGCCAGTTAAAACCTGGGAACAAATTAGGCAGAATCTAGCTCTGCAACCACTGCTTGAAAAACCCAGTGATTCACATTCTTCCCTTCCTTTCAGCTGCACTAGGATGGTCTCTCTAGTTCCCAGTAAATCAAAAAAGAACATACAAGAACTAATTGCACAGTCACTAAATGACATTTCCACACAGCCCAAGTGACTAATGATATCGATATATCACACAGTTGAACTTCCCGAAAACGTTGCTGACGGTAGCCGCTCAGGCACAATTGTAGCCTTAAACACTGTTTTGTCAACCATCAGTCTAAAGCATCCATTTTTCAACCATTCAAACCCAGGTCGACAAGCAGGTAGCTGTCTACCTTGTCAGCAGGATTCAGTGCTGCCCCTCGAGGCATTTCCCGTGAAAAGAACAAAACAGAGGGAGATGGTTTCATCCATTGCTGAACTGTAGTGACCTTTGGAGGCTGGTCCGTCAGTGCTGGTAGTAGGTACCACAACTGAGAAGCAGCTTCTCAAATGCAATTGAACAGCCCTGGCACTTTACAACGGGTCCATAAATAATGCCTGTGTACGGCAAATCCCTCTACCTCCCGGTTGGATCTGGGGAGCTGCAGTACACCAGGGTAAAGAGAGTAGCTGTACCTACCGACACGCTGCAGCTGCATCGGGGTGGGATGCTGCAGGACCGGGTGATGTTCATTCGGGCAGGGTTACAGATGAAGCATCACGTATGTGCACAAGTTTTAAACCGGACAGCACTAGGGTAGTTTGTACACAGCCTGTTTAGCCTTGTTAACTGAGGATGTTTATCCTTGGCCACGTCTGACCTGGAGATATTTGACCTGTGATGTCTTCCCAAACTGGGCTCATGGCCTCCACGACTCCACCGTCGTTGACTGCGGTGAAGGACTGCAAGCTAGAGCTGCTGGCACCGAAATCTGCTGTGGGGCTGCCTAGCGAGTGCAAAAGCAAAACAAAGGAAGGGTGCTGCTTAGCTGAGACCTAGCTTGTGGTGGGGTACCTCTGTCTGCAAAACAGTGGGTTACCAGGGGACAGCACATGTAGTGAAGCTGTCTGGTTAACCGCCCAGCACTTCTTACCTCTGTGTTTTGATGAAATTGCGGCAGACACCTGAAGTCTTGCAGAGAGAGGTTGTTTTTCTCTTTTCCAGCAATGAACCACAATTACAATGTGTGAATTAAAACACAGTTACTCCCTCCCTGAACCGTCAGCTCTGCAAATTGTGTTCCTGGTTCTTCTATTTTTCTTTTTCCTTGTAGCTCAGGAAGAAGAAAAAGGGATTAAAAAAAAAAGACAAAAAGAAGAGGAGGAAAGCGAAACCAAATTGCACTGAAAAGCTTCAGCAGCATAGGCTGTGCTTTGCTGGGGTTTGAAGGGTTTGTTTTTTACCATTCAGTTCATCACACCATTTCTCAGAAGAGCAAGATGGCCAGGCATGTGGTTTCCTTTTGAGGAGAGCACCGCGAGTCACTACTGCAGTTGGGGGATGCTAGAGGAAGCCCATGCTGCAACCCACTTGGTGCTTTGTGGCTGCCACCAGCAGCAGAACACCACCAGGGCGCCGCAGGAAGCCCCGTCACTCATCCATCCCTCCCCTCTTCCTCTCCCATCCCCACACGTCAGTGCTTGCCTGCGGTGGAGGCTTTGGGGTAGTTTTTTTAGCTGCACACACACGGGTGCTGCATACGTCTACCGTGCGAGAAATAATGAGCCTCTTTGGTCACTGAGTTTTGCTCGGTAACACAGCTGGTTCATAAAGCAATTCAGCCAGCAAGGAAATCACACCAAAATTGGCTACCCAGGAGTACAGAGGTACAGTGGAAGGATGGGAAACTGCCTACCGAAAGTAAGGTAGGTTCAATACCATTTTATATTTAATTACTAAACAAGAAGGCTAAGAGAATAATTTTATAAAAAAATAGGATCAAATTATACCTTAAATTAGTCATCTATTACAGGACCATGTAAAGCACAATGAGGAGCCTCTTGATTAAACAAAGGTAATTTAGCAAGCAAATTAAGATGAACAATATCGTTCTTTGTATGTCAGAGTACTGCCTCAGGGTGGTTTTTAGGGAGGTGACTTCATCCACCGGCCCTCAGCACCGAGAGCCTGCTAAAGGGACGGAGGGCATTACAGGCGAGGAACACACGGAGCAGAGAATACTCGTCACCTGCTCCAGGTTTCCAGGCAGGAAAACTGCACTTAGGGATTCACCGTGCCAACTCTTACCTGTTTCACTGTGTCTCATAAAGACAACTTTTATGTACTCTGTATATAAATAGATTCAATTATACAATGTATTTAAATGGTGTATATGGTATATATAAATACACTACAGTTACGTACAACAATGGTTAGGAATAGGTTGTCTCCTAAGGAACGGTGGAGACAGAGGAAGATGCTTGGCCAGAGCC